GTTGACTTGTGAGATAAGTCACTAGTAACTTATACTGTTAGAAAAAATAAATTTTAGGTTAAACCAAAGATATCACACCTAATTTCAAGTTTCAACTAAGAACACTGTGGGTTGGACTCACCTCCTTGTATTCGAGTTCGAACCATCTTCCGGTGCATTTAAATATTTTTAAAATTAACGCCTTTTTTCATTACAAATAAATAAATAAATTGAGTAACAATAAAACTAGTAGAATTTTGGGTTGTTTGTTTGCACAAAATGGAATTAAGTTGTAGAAATCAATAAAATTATTCTATATTTTTTCTTTTGACAATGTCGATATTCTAAACTATTAACCAAGATGTTAACAAAAGAAGTAGAGTGTATTATTTATTTCTTTGCATGATTACGAATTATTAAAAAAGGCCAAAAAAGAGAGAAGAATTATTTAAAATCCCAACAAGTAACCAAAAAATGTGTGCCCCACAATTAAGTATCTTCAATCTATTAAGTGGTCCAAGATTTTGGATAATTGATTCAGATTCCTAACACGAGTCATACTACTCTTTGTATAAATTCTAGTGACGTGTCTGGACAAGCAGCTTCCACGTGGGGCTTCCAAAGACTTGGCGATCAGATAGACAGGCCGCACAGAAGATACCATATCCCCTGTGGTAATTCCAGTTCCGCACTCTTCTGCTTCTGCTTCTTCTTCTTCAACTTACTCGCATTCGCATATATCAGAAAAAACCAAATTATTATTTATTAAAAAGAAAAAAGAAGAAAAATTTCGTTGGGTCCGTTCTAGTTTCATTCCTGGACGTCACAGAGTCTCCCTTTCTCTCTAGTCTCTGCTACTGGTATGTTTGTGTATGTTTGGTTGCTGAGAAACTATGGGAAAATAAAAAGAAAATAACTGTGTGTTTGGATTAAACAACAGAAGAAAGATAAAAGGAGTGATTCTACTTTTCAATTTTTATATTGGTCTCATTTCCTTCCTTTTCGCATCAGGCAAATGGGTTTGGCCGGTTTTGTACAATTATCGTTGTTAATTCCATGTGTTTTTGTTTCCATTTGGGCTGTGTGGATGGATGCGTAGATATAAACATACAAGTCATAGGAAGATAAATTTTTGCCGCTAAATAGAGTTTCGTTTGTATCAGAATGATTAATATGGAATTTGATGGAGTTTTAAATCTAATATATTAAAACGCTCTTTGATTTATGAACTGAATTAGAAAATTTTCTACGTTTTTGTGATAATTGTGAACTTTTATTTAGAAAATTTGGTGGTTCAAGCTTTATCTGAAGGATTCTATACCTGATGACCTTTGTGAAATCACCTGTTAATGTTATTTTCTCGTTCTAGAGTGAGGACCTTGATTATTTACTGTGAGATAGACATATTAAGGATGCACAAATTGTTGACTTGTGGCTTTATTTTTCATCCAGATACATAGCTGATTAAATGGATGAGCAAGTGGGAAAAGCAAAGCCGGCAATTTCTTTTGAGTATGAGCTCTTTGAGGGGGACCCTGATCACCTAAGAACTGTTGTAGCTACACTCACGCCTACACTCACTCCAACTAGTCCGTGGATCAATCCTGCCTCACTCAACTTTAAGTACCGAATTGGGCGAGGTCCCTTTGGTGACGTTTGGCTAGCAACTCATCATCAGTCTGCAGATGATTATGAAGAATATCATGAGGTAGCTGTTAAGATGTTGCATCCTTTGAAGGAAGACGACAGACAGGAGTTTGTCCACAAGTTTGAAAGGTTATTTTTTAAGTTCCGCAGAGTCCATGGGGTTGGTTGGCTTCATGGTATCTCCATTGTTGATGGGAAGGTGACTGCCTGGATTTTTTTT